GAATTCTTTTTCCTTTTCAAAACAAAATACTTCTTCATTTCATTTTACCAGATTTCATTAAAAAAAAAACAACAAAAGACTTTTGTGTCAAAACTCTTTTGAAAAGAATTTATTTTTATTTCCCAAATATAAAATTTCAGATGATTTGTTGTTTTTGTCAGCAAATTCTTTTCAAAATTGAACAAAAAAGATCAAATCAAATTTGATTAATCATTAAACATGTGCATGAACATTTCATTCAAAATTCAACTTTGACAAAATCAAAATTTCATTCGAAACTAATCTTTTCTTTTTCTCCGATTAAAAACAACTTTCTTCTTTTTACTAAAATGTTTTGTTTTCATCATTTTCTAGAACCAAAATTCAACAAATGGCAACAAAATGCCATTACTGTAGCTGGTGGAAATGGAGAAGGACAACAATTAAATCAACTCAGTCGCCCTGAAGGAATCTTTATTGATAAAAACAAAACTATTTTCATCGCTGATTTTTTCAACCATCGTATTGTTGCATGGAAATATAATGCAAAACAAGGACAAATCGTTGCAGGCGGAAATGGGCCAGGAAATCGAAGAAATCAATTGAATATGCCAAGAGATGTGATTGTTGATCAACTAAGTCATTCCATCATCATTGCTGTATGGGGAAACAGACGAGTAATTCAATGGGTGAATCAAGAGCAACAACTTCTCATAGAAAATATTGACTGTCATGGCTTGGCAATGGATAAACATGGATTTCTTTATGTTTCTGATTATAAAAAGAATGAAGTGAGACGATGGAAAATGGGTGACTACGACAACGAAGGAATTATAGTGGCAGGTGGAGATGGACAAGGAAACCAACTTAATCAACTCTATCGTCCTGTTTATATCTTTGTTGATGAAGAACAATCTGTTTATGTATCAGATTCTCACAATAATCGTGTAATGAAATGGAGAAAAGATGCAAAAGAAGGAATAGTTGTGGCTGGAGGAAATGGTAAAGGAGGAAATCTCAATCAATTGTCTCAACCTACACGAGTAATTGTTGATTATTTGGGTCAAATCTATGTGGCAGATAGTGGTAACCATCGAATAATGCGTTGGTGTGAAGGAAAAAAAGAAGGTGAAATTGTTGTTGGTGGAAATGGTGAAGGAAATCAATCAAACCAATTGAGTACTCCCATGGGTTTATCTTTTGATGATGAAGAAAATCTTTATGTTGCTGATTATATGAATCATCGAATTCAAAAATTTGAAGTAATTTCGTGAATGAAATCTTGATTTTTCATAAAATTAAATTTTATTTGATAATTTTAATTAAGAAATTCGAATAAATAAATGTTAAATTCTTCGTCGTTTGTTAGTTTTTGTTGAATTTCGTAAGAGAAAAGAAAAGAAAATATTTTGTAGTTTGAATTAAATTTTAATATGAACTCTTTGATAAGAATAAGATTTTATGTTGGATAAAATCCCATTTTAGTATTTTTATCTGATGAAAGTAATCAAGTGTTTTTTGTTTTTGGATTTCATAAAATTTGAGAATTGTTCAGAATTGAAGAAAAAGGATTGTTTTATAAAAAATGACAAGAAAATTCGAATTCAAACGAATTTTGTTGAACAAAAGAAATGTTGAAAAGATTTTTCTTTAATAAATTAATAAAAATTAAATTGAAAAATGATTTGTCAAAATGAAATCAATCAAAAAGTGATTTTATTTGGAAGGTCAAAATAAATCAGTGAATATTTTTATTTAGATAAAAGCAAAAATGACGGAAGAAAAATGAACAAAAAAATTCAAAGAAAATAAAAAGCAATGAAAGTTCTGAAATAATACAAAATTCAAATTTGATTGTTGATTTCAAAGATTTTTGATGAAATGGAAATTTTTTAATCTGACTTCTTTTGATAAAAGTCACAAGGTGATTTGTTTTGTGTTTGAAAGAAATTAAAATGAATATTTAATAATTCCTTCTTTAATTTCTTTATCATGTTTAATTGAATAAATAATTTTAAATATTTTTATGAATAATAAAAAAATATTCCTTATGAAATTAAAATTAGTTGAAGTTGATAAAAATGATGAAGTTTCGTGATGAAATTAATTCTAAAATCTATTTTTTGCATATTTTTACATTAGTTTGTCAAGAATACGTTCAACTCTTGACAAAGGTCTTTTTTTTTGAAAATATGAAAATATTTCTCAGATGAATTATTTCTATGAAAAAATTAAAATAGTATTATTCTCAATAGTTATTGATTAATATAAATTTATATGAAAATAATTTATTTTTTATTTTTATTAATAAATCATATATTGATATGTAAATTTCATAAGAAGAAGAATTCATGAATAAATAAATATTAGTTATTATTTTGTAGAAGTGTAAGCATTGGTAATAACTAGAATAAAAGAAAATATCCAAATATCTAAAACATGAGTTTATATCAATGAAGGATTTAACGTTATTGTTGAATTAGAGAATTTTTATGCGATAGCAAAGACAATTTGAAAAATATAAACGAAACGAAAATTTAAAAATTGTTTTTAATAAATATTATTAATATTTTATTCAACAATATCGATAATTATTCAAGATTTAATCAATTATATTCAATTTTATCGAATTATTTAAAATTTTATTAGATGAAAATGATTTCATATGAATTATTATATTTATTTGAAAATTTAAGAATGATAAATAATAGACTCAATTACATAGGACACTAGAAAAACCCACACACACCCTCCAAAAGAATTTACTATTTAAGTAGAAAATCTTCTATTTTTCTATGAATTTTTCTTCTATAGATTAGTCGTACATAAAAGAACAACTAAAATGAACTTATATTCATCTTAGAATACAGATTTTCTTATTGTAAGTTCAAAAGATTAAACATTTAAATCAAATAAAAATTTTCATTACTAAATTAACAAAATTAAAAACATTAAGAATATGACTATTACATTGTTCTCTACTACTGCTATTCATATATTTTACGATTATGTGCACAATATTAATAATAAAAATGAAAATAAAGTCAAATAATAATAAGATGTATGTATAAGATATTCATTCTTGTTCTGATTCATATTCTCGAGATTAAGTTATTTTACTATGTGATATAGACAAAACTGAAAATTCATGTATGAATATTATTTTTATTTCATTCTCATACAAAAGATTTTGATTGTTCATTATTTGAAAAAATTCAAATCAATATTTTTTTACATTTGATATGTGATATAACCCATACATAGAACTATCGATTTTGATGTATATTCACATATAGAATGTCTAAATAATGTGATTTCAAACTCTAATAGACACTATCACATTAGAAATAAATTTAGTCATATGAATTTGAATACGAAAGAACATAGAAAATATATGTATGAAAAAAAGATTAATTACTAAAATTAAGTAATATCCATTCGTAGTAGAGATATATTGTTTAATTTTTCATACGGTAGAAAATGATAATGAACAATTTATCTTGCATGATTGAGAATTTTATTAGAAATTTTTATTTAATCAATATCTAATATTTGATTTAGAGATATCTTACCATATAAATAAATCTTTTATTTATTACAAAATATTATAAATAGAATTATATTATTTTCTATAATATTAAATAAGAATTCCATTGAAGACTAAAATTAAATTGTATTCATTAATATTATCATCATTCAATATATTTTCAGACGTTTAGAAAAATATTTTTTATGACAATCATTTTGATTGATTATAATGGAAGATTTTTAATGACTGAAGATCTCATCTATCAATGCTTATATATATTAGAGACCAGAAAAAAGACATTATCTTCTAGTTGTTATCAATAGGGGTGTTACTTTATCTTTAATTTATAAATAAAGATAAAGAAATAAAGTAAATCTTTATATTTATAAAACAAAGATTAAGATAATCTTTATCTGCAAAAATAAAGTTAAAATAAAAAATAAAAATACAATTTTTCATGCAATAAGTACAAATGCAAATACCCTGTATAACAACAGATTACATTTTTTAATACTCTTTCTTATCATCATCATTTGCATATACTATATCATCAAGAAAAAAAGAATCACACAAGAATCGATATATACGAAAAATACTTTGATCTTGATTAATCTTGAATATTCTTAGATAATTATTCATAATGGGTAAAAGCTGTAGTCGTATTTGTCCTCATTGTTGTTGCGCTTGTTCTCCTTGCTGTTGTCCATCCAAAATCGATAATGGTACCAACCCCACCACCGACATCGGCACCAACACCCCTCTATCTCGTGAAATTATCTTTACTAAATACCAATCTCCACCTATGCCCGATATTTACAGGGACACAGCTAACTACCAAGATCTAATGGAGATTGAATCGCTCGTGGTAAGATATTTTTATTTCGATATAAATTGTATACATTCAAAAGGTTCTCACAAACATTTTCTTCTTCTAAATGCAAGGAAAATATGAAATAATTATATTATATTGATAATGCTGCATCTAAAAACGAGTATATCAGATGATCTACTATATCTTTCGAAATTCAAAGACTTTTTAATATATTACAAGATTGAGCAATAAATTGAGCCAGATTTAATAAACTAAAATAATCTCATATATTCTAATGATAATACAACATAGTTTATATGAGTTCTTCGTATTTTTCATCTCTCGAAAAATACTCCATGCACTATCACGTTTGACATATTTTGTAAAATATTCACAAATCATTTCCATCTGAAGTAAAAACGAAATAAACTTAAATTGACATTATATTACTTAATATAACAAACTCAAACCTTAATTAGCTAACATCTGTAATTTTGGCTATTGATAGCTTTTATATTATTATTTATATTTCAGCGTAGCACAATTATGGCACAATTATCAGCACAGACAACATCCAGCAACATAACAAATGTCATAAAACAACCGTTAGAAAAAAAATGGACTGAATCATACCTGACACACGGAAACTCATCTGATGTCATCACTGAAGTTAACAGTCACATGCATGGATGTATTAAATCAGTTGAATCACAAGAAATTAACATTGGGGTAGAAAAGTTTCAACAAATTACAGTTGAAATTGAGAAATTAATCACCAATCAATTGCAACTAATTACACAAAGAGAACAAACGATCATTCAGAAACATAGACAAGAAAGTACAAATGCTGTAAATAGAATAATCACTAGGGGAAGATCTTACCAACGGGCTAATGAAAGAGAACATCAACGATTTCTAGAAGAATACATTGTTCAATTAGAAAAAGCATTGGTCGAACATTTAGATCATCTTCACAAGGCTATAGAACATGATCAAGAAAAGATAATTGGCAAGTCACGAGATTTTATTCAAGGTTGCACTCTTGATGCATTAACAGCAAGACAAACTATCCTGAATGATGCCTTTTCGGGCGCTAATACAATGATTACAGAAATATTGACTCATCACAAGACGAAGTTTTGGGACATAAAAAAGCAACCTGTTGGTCGTGAAGAACTACGCACTATTGACCTTCGTATATACTCTACTGTTGGTGAAAATCAGGATGGTCTAGTTTGTGACAAAATATCTGATCGAAATAAATTTATCAAAACAATCCGCGATACAAAATCACCAAATGAACCCAAGAGAACAGTGTACCTAAAAAGTGATCCAAGTATTACAATACCGAGAACATAATATAACGTATCGGCTAATAAAACAGAACTATCGAAAGATAAATATATAGATCATAATTATTTAAATATGAAAACTAGTTATCTTTATTTAATGAGAACACTTTTTAGTAAAAGCATCCTTAAAATGCAATTTTCTACTTTCTATTTGTATTTCTTTGTTATCCCTTCTATATCTTATCCTAGTAGGTACATTTTTTTTGAATAACTATCCCTTTGATACTATTATAATCAGAAGACTTAATATTGCCAATAAATAAAGATAGGTTGTTTTATTCATTTATTGAAAATGTCGATGACATGGAAAAATTGAAGTTGCTCTGATGATATTCCAGTAGAATATTGAAGATCATTGACACGATCGATGGACTAAAATGAAGACATATTCACTCTCAAGGAAAATGTCACTCGGTGACAAAAAGAACATGAATTTTTAAGATAATTCAATTCCATTCTCTGATAAAAATTTACAAATTTTGACTAGTTCTTACAACATTTTAGTAGCTTGCTTTGAAAAATATTCATTAGAATACAGAAAACAAATGGTGTGAATAGTTGAAGAAATGGAATTGGATTTTATTTACTTAATAATGATAATTAGTATCTTTTGTAATAAGGATACGTCTGACCCTAATAATAAATATCAATAATGATGCAGTCAATAAAGGTGGACTGGAAATCGAGGGTAAATTTTTAATTAATTTTTGTAATTTATTTGATGAAAGTTGATCATAAATTAATTCTTTGAACTTGTAAACTATTCCACCATCCATTATTAATGGAAGAGTTCAGAGCGTGTTCAACTAAATCTGATTGATTAATATTCAGATCTTTTTGTTTTATTAAATTGTGCAAAGTTTCGACTACTTCATTCTAATCTTAAATCATTCATTGCCGATCGACATTCAGTATGATACGTCATTTTTCAAACTTTATAAAGCTTGTTTTTCGTGAATTAACAAATTACTCGCAATTATCTTAGATTCAATTTTATTCTCTAGATCAAAAGTTTCTCGTATATTCTGTATCTCAGATGAAGTTCGATTGGATTTATCTTCACTCATGTTCATGATTGATCAAAACATTTCAAGAACTAAAAAAATCAAGAAGATTTCTGTCATATGACTTAATCTTTTGTTGGTTTTTTCCTTCGATCTTATCTTTTAATTTATTCTCATGTAGAATATTCCAACTTAACTAACTGTTTTTTTGGTCGTATTACGAACATGTATTTCGAAAACACAAGCACATACGAATGAAACAAAAAATAATGATTCAATGTTGGTATATTCCTTTTCTTTCTTGACCTTTCCTTATCGAAATTTTGCCAAGAGTCGGAAGAAAACAGATACATCATATGAAGTTACTTTACATATACACAAATAATGATGAAATAAAGATTAATCACTTGTGAAGGTTATTTCCAAGAGGAAAAAGGAAGAAAAAATATCATATTTAAGTTTAATCGTTTGAATTTCTATTTTAAATTAAAATAAAATCGATTTCTAACTTTTATCCAGTCATCTTAGACATAACATCAGTTTCATCAGTAGAATTTTCCAACGATTAGTAATTATTGACACAAGATAACTTCTTTTTCGATTTCTTCTATTAGCCAACAATATTCCTATTGTCCTTCAGTTATTAAAGGACACCGCGGGATAAGATAGCAAATCTGCCACCCCCCTGGAT